AAAAAAAAAAAACAGACTAAAAAAAATGAAAATGGGCTTGGATTTACTAGAAAAACCCTTTGAATTTTCTACCGCTAGAGGTCCTAAAACGATAATTAACCGAGACCGAGAGAGTAAACGCAATTTCTCTCCTCTGCAACACCAACACGCACACACAGAGACAATCTGGTGAGTAGTGTAAGCTCACCGAACCCAGTTTTTCCTGCAGAATCTCCGGCCATTAATGACGCTCTTGAGCTCAACTATTTTGTCCTAATCTAAGCAATCGTCATTTCTTGCTTTCACTTTCCGTTTTCACCTCACAGAGAAAACGGTTGACATCATTTTTCCGTCCATCAAAACGGAGGACGTCACCTTGGGTAAAACCTCTGCTACCAAACAAACTCTTCGATGTGTCCAGAAATACACTTCATTTCTTTATATTCGGGTTTCTCGTACAAATGCCGTGTATATCCAAGTTGAGCTCTGATCTGTGAGTTCTTTTCTTCTACTTCATATCCCTTTGTATTCTATAATTCTGCATATTTGTGAGTTTTTATGGAGAATATAAGTGATTTATTCTGGAAAAAAGCATTGTTTATTTGCGGATAGGCTTTAATTTTTAATTTTATTTTTATTTTAAAAAAAAAAGAAAGAAAACCTGCTTGATTTTGCCGTTCTTCAAAGCCCTAATTTCATGTTTAGAGATTTCGCACAACTTGTTCATGTCTACACTTGTTTTATTATGTTTTTGGATTATTGCTATATAAGTTGATAATGGTGTTTATGAAATGCAAGGAATAAGTAAACGAGCAAGTATGCTGCTGTATGAGTGAACTAAACAAGAATATGTGTTGTTTGAAGTTCCTATCATCCTCAACTAATTTCCTCATACTTATTATCTTTCTTGAATTATGCACTTATACATGTACCATCGATGCATGTATTGTTCCGATCGTGTGTATTTTTTATTCTTTGGCTATTGTCTGGTGTGGGTTCTGAGAATTTGTGTTTGCATGTGTTTTGTTTTAGGTTTTGAGAGTGTAGATAGAACCCTAGGAATCATGTCGAAGCTGATGCTCATCATTGCTCTGCTGACGGTATTGGCCATCATGTCCCAAATCGAATGGAGGCAACAGTTTTTGGGTGACGTAGATCCTCAAAAGCAGCTCCCGGAAAGAGAGCAAGTTGTGAAAGAGAAGGTAATTTTTAGCTTTCCCTGAAATTTGTTTACCCATTAATTCGGTAATCATTGTGGGGAATTATGCCGGTACTTCGACTGTTGTACGAAATTCCAAAACTTTGCTTTCGTCATTGGTTGGTATCCTAATTGCTGGCGTCGAGTGTTTTGTTATTTTTTGGTTATATGTTCTATATATATCAGCTTGTTATGATGCAAATAGAATATTATGTCGTTGACACTTAAGCTGGTCGGTCACTTGAAAATGAGTTTGATTTTCTAAAGATTTTTTTCTTCATGTTTTCTTCATGTTTACCCCTTTTATTAATCTGAATGTAATTTAGACGAGATTTTACTTTGTGGCACGTGCATGTTGTGGAAATTGTTTACTATATTATTTGTAAATACAAATTATTATGAGGCACACTCTCCACTTTCCTTTTCTTTACTAAGGTTTCCTTGCTCTATTTATTGCTTTCTTATTAAAGTATTTCTCCTGTGGTGTAGCTTGCTGTAGCTGTTTCATCACATTCATTGATAATTTGATTTACATACAGGTTGTGCATATCCTAACATCACCGTTAATGCGCTGTTGAATTTCCTAAGCAACCATGATACTTTGTACTTATCTGATGCTTCTGTCATTTTGTAGCCTAATAATCCTCTTTTATGGGCTGCAGTTGCGTAATTTCTGAAGTTTAATTATGCAAACTTTAATGCTTTATTAAACCTTGTTACAAGGAAATTTTCTCAAGTGATATCACATTTTTCATAGATATGCATATCTTCTTAAGGAGAAACTTCTGCATTTGATTTTTACCTGAGTTACCATGTTTTGACATGCTTCCGCAGATGATTATACTACCGACTAAAAATCAATGTATTTTTTGCACGTGTGTCTTGCTAAAAACTAGAAAATATATTGGCACGCAAATCGTATGGTGCTGGGCTGCCATTTCACAGTCAGATGCTAGATTGAGAATTTAAACTTGGGCTTTATAACTCTTAAGGCTAATTAACCATTGTGCAATTGTAATTGGTTTGGACTCTTTTTAATATTTAAAGCGAAGCTCCATTTAAATCTAGCTTAAATAACGTGGCATTTTCTCTTAATTGCACTGCTATTCTTTTTCTTCGATCTCCAGTATTTGGTGCTGTATCAGATTTTGCCATATTGACAACTGAAAACAAAGACAAAACCGAAAAATAAAAAAAGGAACCTGAAAATGTGGCGGGGCTTCTTTTCTATCCCACTAAAAAGTAAGAACCCGGAAAACCCTATGACTATCGGGATCTCTGCGCTTACTTATTTACATTATTAAGAGAAATGTTGAAGTTCTCTCTCCTGTGCATCCTCGGAACTTATCGTATTAACTCTTAACTGGTCCCTTTCCACAAGAGTTAACCGTGGTGGCCAGACTGGGATTCCTCCACTAGTAGTTCCTGGTTTTACTTGTGCCAACATTCAGTTGTGAAAAATAATTGTCTTTTAGGAGAATTTGGTAATGTGTAGGGTGAGATATTCTTTTTAAAGTTGAAAGCTGGAGAGTTCCTTGGTCATGAAAAGAGTCAAAGTAGTCAAGCTTGAATTAAGTCAACGTGAAAGTCATCGTTACAAAATTAGGATATTCTAGTTTGAATGCCCTTAAATGGCAAATAATTCTAGTTTGATTTGAGAACACTACCACATCTATAAAACTGGCAAAATTGTAATTTTAGTCCTGTTGGTTTGATCCATTTACGTTTTTAGTCCTACGAATTGAACGTTTTTGCTATTTAGTCCTATGATTTTAAAATTTAATGCAATTTCAGTCCATTGGGACTGAAAATGCAACAAAATATAAAATTATAGGACTTAAATTGCTAATGAAAAATCTTTTGGATGGATTTTTTTATTAGCAATTGGATTTTTTATTAGCAATTTAAGTCTGTAATTTCATATTTTGCAGCAATTTCAGTCTCAAAGGACTGAAATTGCAACAAAATACTAAATTACTTTACCAAAAGACAAAAAGCTAAAATCTTGGGACTAAAAATGCTACAACGTTAAACCAGCGGGACTAGAAATGCAATTTCGCCCTATAAAACTCTATGTAGATTGTGTTTCTCCTTTAAAATATTATAAGATGTGAGGTTCATTATAATTGTGTTTAACATTTGCTTAAACATCTGTGCTGTTAGCATATAGTGACATCCGATAGTTTCCCCATACAAAGTTGAACTAACACAGCTGATTACTGGAAAAAGTAGACTTGCCTGCAAAGTCTCATCTGTGTGTCTGAATAGAGATGCAATATCTATGATTTTAATGTTCTTTTTCATCTTGTTGAAGTTAACATGCATATAATGAAAAATCGGTTCCATGTAGAATGTGTTCAATTAAGAACTCAATTGTTTTCGTTCTGTTCTTTTTCTGCCAGTTCGATTACTCATAGCTATGAATACATTTTTCACCATTAAAAATCCTAAATCTCCATTTATGTCATTGTGAAACCTTAATTTGACAAGTTGTGAACCTTGTATGTTATCTACTTTTTTCTTAAGAAATAGATACTTGAAAACCCGCACTAGTCTGACATTGGTTGCTGCAGATTATCCTGATACAGGAAAAGAGCATCCATAAGCTGAACGAGGCAATCCAGAATCTCAATGAACAACTGAAAAAATGTGCCTGCTTTAATGTGACATTGAACAACAGTACTCTCAGCTCGCCTGCGGAACATGTTACCGAGGAGCATATGATGGATGATGAGTTTGGGCAGCAGGAAGAAGTTCCCGAGAACTAAAAATGACTGTTTTCTTAGTGTTTGACCCTATGTCACACCCCTAATGTAGCAGTTTTGCATGATATACACTGCTGACAAGAATAATATGTGGTGCTGGTTATAAGTTCTCTTTCTCTCGTAAAGAAGAAAAAAAAAAAAAAAAA